GTCTCAACAACTCTACGCGTTGATTTTGGGGTCTAGAACCTAAAAGATATCTGACGGGCCTTTTTATACTAGAAGCATCGTCGTGATCGCAAAATTCAGTTAATTAGCCCCCGTGTGGAACACTCGAGAAGCGGTTTTCAGAACCACTTGTAAAAACATTGTTGAATAATCAGCAATTGTGGGGGTAGCTATTTCCTTAGAAGCTCCAAGCCGATCTGTCAAGGTTCACTTCCAATAAAATTCCTAAAAAACGTTCGATTCTGGTCTCTGAACTATGACATTGGCTTGAAGTTTCGCAGTATTATGATGTCGGTTCAAGATTTTAAAGAAGTAAACGCTGTACATGAGTACAAAACGTTTGGTTTAACGCAGACTGTTTTGAGGTTAAAAAGTGTTTGGGGACAGATGTACGATACATCTCGTTAAACTTACCAGTTTAAGAGCCTTCATCCAACTCTGCAATTTCTCCAGGGGTTCATACATGTTCTTACAGAGTAAGGAATGTAGACGATCTGTGGATTATCAAACGCGCAATTATTCATCTACTTTTAGCAACCTTATTATCATTATAATCGGACTGTTGACAATACCTTCGCACCATATTGTTCCAAGGTGGATTTAGGATGGATTTGTACTATCGATTTTCTGGTGGAAAGTAAATACAGATCATTATTGCATTCTCTGTGACGACAGATGGAAAACACGTGTTTGGTTGAGTTAAATAAAATGGAAGAGCAATGGCTCGTGCACGATATTCACCGCAAAGTTCTATTTGCTTCCCTGGCGCTTCGGTATAGTTAGTATTAGAAATATAATTATTTCTCATAATAACATTTGCCGACTTTATTGTGAACTCTTTATTTCCCAAGAGAAATTGGGCTTAATAGACGGTAAACGTAGATAGATATTGTCTATATTGGGGGGGGGGGGGGAGGAGGATTGGATGAAAGATGGGAAGATTAGTCAGGTCTTGATAATCATGTAAAGAAAGGTAAGTCCCTGTGGAATTTCATCGATTGGAGCTCGGCTACAGTCACAATTGTCTATAACTGTATCCCTTACGACGTTTAAAAATTGCCTTTCAATTCAAAGTTCTATTATCCGGCATAGGTACATAGATGAACGTATCACAACTCAGCGCTAGGAGCCCGTGTCGCAACCTTTGGGATGTAACATATTCCTTGTTAGAGCCTGGAGAATCTTTTCGCAACTAAGTGAGATCTCTCCACTAAAATAGTTATTGCACGCAAAACTTGAATATCTCTCTAATAATTAGTTTTCTTGTGTAGTTTTCGAATAGGATTTGTCAATTTCGTGCTTCTCAAAGGAGTGAAAGCCAGGTATTCAACAGACATTCTCGACTACATTGCAGAATTCAATCAAATTAAACTAAACCAGAAGTTAAATAGTAATTGAATTAGCTTTACTGTAGTAAGATTGGAAACTTGCTCAGTCACAACTTGCTATAGATTAGATGTTGGGCTATCAGTGGCGCGAACAATTCGTAGCGCAATTAGCAAAGAGAAGACTGTGAAAACCCAGATGAATTATGATCAAATGCAGCAGCAATTAAGTGGCTGCTTTTTTTTCGTGATCGAACTAAAGCTCTTTTTCTAATGAGACTAAATCCCTATTTGATCTTGGTTTTTTTTCGCAAACACAATAAAGCCTCATTTGTATTAAAACACTTTACTCTGTAACGCAGCTAACTCGGGTAATTGGATAGTTCGCCGCCCAGAGCATTGAACGGTTCTTTTTCCTTAAATTCATGACGCAGAACGACAAATTTTTAGCAATTAGCCTTGTAGTTTTCGTGCCCCGTGACAGAACAGCCCACGGAAAAATGACGTCAACAGAACGGACTCAAGTATAGTTTCCATTGCTCTGTGACGACCTTTGTAAATGAACTGTTACTTAGCCCTGAGGGAGCGATAAGCGATCTCAGAAAAATCAAGAGAAAAAACAGCGCTGATGAGTCCAATGAAATTCTCTACTCGCCTTTGAGGTTTGAAAACCAGAATTTAAAATGACGAAAATGCATTGACTCTTATTAATGCAATTATTTGTGGCGAGATCAAAGGTATTAACGCAATGATTTGCTGTGTTTTTATTGGTCACATTATTAGTAAAGGCTAACAAACAGCTGCGCACCGTTGTACTGATTGACAATTGTATAACCTGCGCTTCAAAATTGCCCACAAGAAAAATATATATTTTTCTTTTTAACAAGATTTAAAAGAAGCAACAACGACTCGATGAAACACATTGTAAGAGCAAAACACGGGCCTCAAAACTGAAATGATATCTGAGTTCGAATTATGTATAAGCATAAGTTTGTTTTTTTTTTAAATGCTATGTACTGTACAAATCGAATTACTTCAGTTCACTGATACAAATTTTAATAGGAGTCGAACGAGGAAACTTTCCGGATAGAAAATTCTATTAAACAGACTCAGAAATTGAATCAGTCATCCAAATTCAGTATTGTGCACTAAGATTTAGTTCAGATCATCCTCAAATTCAATTTGTTCCATCACAGTTGTGCTTTGCGATGAAAAAATAAGATGATTGCGTTATCAACTCTTGACCAAACGAACTTTTTTTGTTTATGCGGAATTTTAAGAAAATCATTTAGTTAACTGATCGAGAAGAAAATAATTTAGCTTACCTTGCCTTTGGAACTCTTTGAAAGAGACGAATCTATTGACTTGTTTTCGAACACAACTTCTAAAAGTTATCAAAGCCTATGATAAGAAATCAAATGATACATTTACTAATGATGCTATTTGTAATGTATTTTTAGGCGTTATCGTCGGAAATGTACATCGCATTTCGCCGGCTCCGGCAGTTGGCCACAATAAACATTTCCAGAGATCCGACCTTGAAAACTGATTGACATGAAAATTTTTTATGTCGATTATACCAGTTGGAAATTGAGAAATATTCCATTTACCTCGAGTTTGATTCACCGAGAGTGTCTGGCGGTTGAAGCGTGTAACCATTCAATTAGCTTTGTGTTGCTATCAGCAAAATCTGCCAAATGATACATCAGTGTTATGCATGGTGGTTAATTTAAAAATACTCGATATTTTCGATCGTGTCAATTTACAATATAAAATACTTTCGAATATCATGTGTCGGAGGTTTATGAAACGATTTGGTCTTACCCAACTCATAAGCCTAATTCAGTTGTTAGAAAATTCGGTAGATATGTGATTCCATAGTGACTGTTGAATAAGCTCAATGTTGAATATTAAAGTTCTGATTCTCTATTTTACCATTGGTTTGAATTTCAAATTAATTTCTGGTCCGCAATATTTTTGTTTCACTGTTAGTTATCGGGGATTTGTGGAAAATGATGTTCTGAGCTGAGATAATGCCATCTCTTCTCAAAGCATTAGAGACGCACTTTGAGAAACCAGTTGTTGTCGCAATGCTTATGAATATCGGATTACACACAGTCTTAAAAAGATTTTAGATAATATTCTCAAATACTTAAAACAGAACGAGTTGTGCGCCACAGTTTGATTCTCGTTCCAAATTTGTAATTCATTTCTAGTGCGCAATAAATGTCTCTGCGTAAGTCATCGTGGATTTTTGGGCGATGGTACATCTACAATAATAGTGCCTTCTCTTTCCACGGTATTGAGAAAAACATTTTAAAACACCACTTATTATCGCTATACCTGTAAATATCAGATCGCAAATAGATCTAGAGGATTTGAAATGACATTCGCAAATACATGAAACTACGTAAGTGGTGCGTTGCAGTTTAATTCTGGACCCTCAATAAATAGGTTTGTCAGAATTGTCAACGAGTCGTAATAGACATTAGTTTTTCTCGTGTACTCCACTTCAAACCGAAACAAAAACACAATTAATTCAATTTATTGCTTCGCCTATCATAGATGAACATTTAGATTATGAATTCAAATTCAGCTGAGCTCTTTGTTTTTAACTGACAAGAGATAAATTGTGGCTCACATTAGCCTTGCTTAAGTATCGCATTATGTTGAGCCCAGCGAATTTTCAGGCGTCCCATCTCAGTCAAAATGGCATGCTTTTCTGAAAGTCCCAATTTATCAACTATACTTTTGTTCAAGCCTTCATTACAACAAAAACACAATTTATCACGTAACTTAATTGAAATTGACTGTGCTAGTAAATAAATAATTCTTTGCAGTAATTTCATGGTCCACTCTTTCCACAGACAGACATCAAAGCACCACGGACTAATTTCGGGCTTACAAAACTTGTTGATATCGTTGATACAACCATGGAAATACCAAGTTGTTTTTAGACCATCAATGGCGCATCTTTAATCCACAAACCTTAAAACGAACTTCCAATATTTCTTTCTTAGCACTTGGATGGTTGCTAGTAAAAAGTCCCCGTTGTAAAAATTATATTTTTCATTCTTTAAAAAAATAATAATAATCGATAGAAAAAAATTACAGTAACCTAGCCGTTGCTTTCATGAAATTTGAAAGACATCATTCGAAGTATGCAAAAGAGCTTTTAAGAAAAAAATTCAATTTTTTTGCAGTAACATAAGTCAATGGCCTGGCCTGGCCTGTACCTCAGTCCCCATCACTGACAACCGAACAGCGATTGTTGTAAATTCCGCCTCACCGTTTTCATCTATAGGCACAGGTTCTGATTAAATTATACTCCATAGCGTAATCGTCTAAAAATTTCTTTCATAGGTTTTCCATACAAAAGGAAAAAACAAAACGAAACACAGTAACAAAAACAAACTAATAAAAACATCAAGCTCAATCTACTGCCTACGGTAGCTTGTCCACCAGATAGCAATTTCCAATTAAGTTTAGATGCAATGCATCCTTACCATCTCCAGCGTTATCACTGCCGTGAAGCTCTCAGCTAGAATTAACACTTAAATTTTTACTTTTGCCGTATTAGTCAAAATAGTCGTTCAATAACATTCATTTTCAACGTGCTAAAATAGGTAGTTATGACACTTTTTGGTGTCTCCGTTGTTAGGGGTATGTAACCTCCTCAAAGTTATTGGTTTTCAAAGAGAGCCTTCTTAAACCCATGTCAGAATCTTCTTTGGGGTGGCCATTTTGGTCTTTGCCGGGACATTTGAGCCTTAAGCGCTTCTTCAACATCTCACGAAAGTCTTTTTTATAAAGTGCAAAGATTACAGGGTCCAGTATGGAGTTGAGAACTAAGGTGTAAAAAGAGATTAGTATAAGTTCATTAGAGAGAAGATGTCTCTGGTCTGTTATCAAACAGATGTTGATGTAGATGAGAGGAAGCCAACAAACCAGGAACATCGCAAGAACGATGGCAAATACTCTTGCTGCTTTCTCTTCGTTGCCCGCCCGGTATCCGGTATTGTTACCTTTGCACGTCCGTTTCTTATTTCTTATCACAAAACGATGTACCACCCTTAACAGACCCATGTAAACACACACCATTGTCGTACATGGAATGAAGATGCAAGTGGCCAAAATAGTCGCCAGGTAGGCTTTGTGAATGGTGGAAGTCGCGTCGGTGTTCCAAGCCAACGGAAGAAGAGACAGAATCAGTGGAAGGATCCAAGAGATACTGATAATCACGGCCACATTTTGGTTGTTAATGATCGCTCGATAACGAAAAGGTCGTGTCAACGCGATATAACGCTCGTATGTGACGCCACAGAGATTGAAAACCGTTGTTAATAAGACGAAGGCTACAAAATAGCCTGCGATGACTGTCTTGACGTAATGATCGATGATGTACACAGGGACAAACACAACCGCTACCATCAGATCAGAGATAGACAAGCTGAGAACAAGATAGTTTGTCATTGTGCGAAGCTTTTTGTTAAAGATCACCATGGCGCACACGAAAAGGTTCAGTCCAGCAGAGATAAGTCCGAGTAATGCCCACGATACTATTAATGCGCGAAATGTTCTGGCATCTACCGGTTCTGAAAAGTAACTGTTCACCTCCACGGCTGTCGTGTTTCCCATATTGAACAGAATCCCGATGTAACCTTACGTATTCATCTTTAGCGCCTCATTTTCGGCTACCGCTAAAACCAATTTGCCTCCAGTTAAATCAAAATTTTGTCTCCAACATTCTTCTCTCAAGTCGCCTGAGGGTGAAACGGTCTTGTTCTCGGATAAAACACGCCTGAAATAAGCCGTTACGGTTGTTATTTTTTGGACATAAGTCGAAAGAAACTGTGGTTTACCTTAAAGAATAACTGATAAGAAATGAACCTGTCTTGAGGAAATCCTTTTAATAGTCTGGAGTATTTTCTCTTCGTTGCAATTGGAGGAAGATAATAGGTGTCGCTTTGTTTTCCTACGCTATAGATCTTTTGTTAAAGCTGGGCAGATTAAGGGCCGAGATCCGTGCATTATTCGTGCACGTTACGAATTAAACACTTTGTTTCTTTATGGCTTTAGTTCTAAGATTGCAGCTATAGGCTGAGAATAAGATGAAAAACCCTTTCTTGTTCAGCAGCAATGATTAAAATCTGGTGGTAATTTGACGTCCCTTCATATGCAAACCCTATCGAATATTTGATTAAAAGACTGCACAAAAGTGATCAGCGCGAAAAAGTATTTTGAATAGCAGAATCTTCCTTGATAAAAAAAAAAAAAAGAAAGCGACACAAATACTAAATTTTCCTCGAGCTTTTTTTAAAAGTGGATTAATAAGAGGACCCGGAATTAGTAATTTAATTCTTTGCCACCGCTGTCAACGAAAAATTTCTCATGAGTGGCAAAAAAACACAGACCTACATTCAGGATTTTTAGATACTTAGATAAGTCAACACAAACTTGCATTTGTGGTCTCGTAAAAGGCTGACTGAAGCATGGCTTCAACACGATTGTCGCCATATCGAAGAATCTTGACCAATTTAAGTAGGGACAAATTTCACGCGATATCAAAAATTGCAGCTTTCTTTATGAACGTGATCGCGATCACGTAACGTATATGGTCCATAAGTCGTCTGTTACGTGCGTGATTCACTTCAAAGCAATTTCCAGAAATAAAAGCTCGCTTATGACCTCGTTCAAAAATGCGTGCGCTTTAAAGAAGCTTTCAAAAGCACTTTGTTTGCTCCGTAATTGCTTTAGCACAATTGTTTGGCATTTTAGTTGTCCTTACGTCCAAAAACGCAAGCTGAATTTTAAAAAAAGGGAAATACCTTGCGTGTACAGTCGAATATTTTCGGATATTTATTCGCATACTTTCTTTCTTCAAAAATCTTAATCAGTTTGTTTGTTTTTTTTTTTTCCGGATATAATCTTCTTATCCTGCCACCAGAAATAACTGACGTAGATATCTATTGTAAATTAGAACATCCTGAAAGAATTGTTTTAAATACGTGTACATTATCGACACCTATTATTAAAATCGCGGCTGCTTTTTTTATGAAAACATGAATTTTAAATTACAACTTGCTCAGAAAATTGCCATTATTAGTGTCGAAATGACCGTATTTTGATTGTATGCAAGCTTTCCCGCTAAGGGATAACACGGAGCAACAAAGTGCTTCACTATTGTCATCCATTTGAAAGCTGTCGAAGTTTCTGGCCAGCTTTTCTTTCCGTCTCACCTGAACTGTTTGTCAGGTGATAGATCTAAGATAATGATATCATACATACATACCTACAAACAATCATAAAAGATTGACGATAATGCAATTTGCAACTTTTTCCAGGGAGAGGGTGATTAACATGCAAGAGTGTACATATTATGAAACGTCTATCGGTCGCGCAACGAAAACGCTGACGAAATAATTAGTGAGAAAGATAAGAAATAAATTGTCTCCTTTATGGGAAAATCTAACCTCTGCATGATCATCACGATTACTCGGTTTCTTTACCTTGATATTCCCAATTTTACATTACTATCAGTGCAGTTTCTTTCCCAGATGTCTGCTTTAGCGGTAGACTTACCGGAATGAATGCGCCTTTCGAGAAATTTCGATTAATTTTTGATGGGGGAAAAATCGATACGATTAACTAAGTCATGTGTCTGGCACAGTTTCATAAATTTGCAAAAGCAATAACTGATCGCAATATCAAAAAAATTTACATCAGCTGCTCAGATCTATGATTTTCTAAGTAGAGCTGTGAGCGTAAGGATCGAACACATGCGAATCTTAAGCAAAGCATGCAACGCGAACAAAATGCCCAATTTAACTCGTTTAGAAAAATTGGTTCACTTTCCGAGATATGTGGAACGCGATGAGTTCCCTTTGAGATAGAATGTCAAACCAAAAGAGCATTGATATAGTAAATGATTTGAACCCCGGGGTAACAGTCTGAACGTCCGGGTGAGGGTAGTCCTAACGATAGCGAGGGTTGTATAAAAAAATTTATCCAAGACAATCATATTATGATATTCATCCAGTAGTTTAAAAAAGTAAAAAAAGCTAAAAGTATGCGAGCCATATTCTTCAGGTGTACAACGAGTTGTTGCTTGTGTGGTTTTCAGGTTAGAGCAATTTACAACTGAGTGTCGAAAACAATCCGGGTTGCATTGGTTTTGCTTTTCTCCGCTCTGTGATTGGTCCAAAAAAACTTGCGCCACTCTCTCAACCAATCAGGTGCAAAACCAAAGCCAATCACGACTTGGTCACCCGCGTGTTCCTTCGCTTTGGACCGTTTGCTGTTTACTTTGAGTTCTCATTGGTTCTTACAGTTATTTTCCTATCTTCTGATTGGTTCTTGTGATAACTTTGGTTTTGAGTTTACGACACTCAATCGAAAACGCTCTATGAGCCAGTAATCACCAACTACTACAAAATTACATCATTTAGACAGCAACGAACTAAAAGTGACAATCTTTTCACATTTACACATTCAAAAACTGATTCACTTCCTAATCATCCTCTGACTAATAAGAAAAACCGAACATGTTACTTCTGCTTGATGTTCTTTACGATGACTATTCAGAGGGAAAATGATTAGAATCCTCAAAGGATCTTTACATTTGTTTATATGATTTTTTCCAATTTCTTTTAAAAAACAGTAAGTGGCTAAAACATATCCTTGGTGCTGGAGTTTATTAATTTCAAAACTCGTGGTACACCACCTCGTCCCTATGAAAAAAAAAATTAACATCACAGTCAATGATTAGAGCTAAATATATATTTCCACGAATGCAGTTCTGGGATTTCTAAGTTTTCAGAGTGATAGACTGAGCAATTTCCAGTTGAGTGTCGGAGGTAATGCGGGTTTGCTTTGGTTGCGCCACTTTCGAATTCCCAACCATCAATATTCAAAATTAAAACCAATGATGACTTGGTCAGTCACGTTCTGTTACGCTTTAGGCGGTTCGCCTGTTTGCTTTGAGGTTTTTTATTTCACGACTCTCCGTCGAAATGCCATCAATTGTTATGATAACAATCACCTATGTTAATCGATTCTTCGCTGAGGAGTTGGTAACCCAATGATTTGCTAAAGCGAAAAAAGGAAATCAGGAAATAATAGTAATAATAATAGATATGTAGATCTCGCTTCCACTTCGGTGGAGGTAAATATCCAAATGATATAAGTTTGCGAGAAAGCATAAAACTTAGAAGAAACACTGAGAGGCTGCCGTTATACTCTGCACACTCTGAGGAAAATCAACGATTGCGTCAAGAACTGCCCCCAAAATTATTAGGAAACTTAAGCACAAACGGTTTTAGACGCGATGGTAGCCAGAAGATAAAGTTATCATGCCTGGTGCGCCTTTTACCATTTTTGTCCGAATAAATCATTTAGATTAAGCATACTAAAACGACATTCACACGACAAATACATTGGGGTCAAAGTGCGTAAGAATTAGTTTCATTCCTCTTCCGAATGCCATCGCTTCTCTTCAACGCCTCTGCTTAAATTACCTCTATTAAGAAAAAACTATAACGAGTTCTTGTTCCTGTGTTCGATGTACGTGTTGTTCGTGGACTTACGTACTGTAAGTGGGACAAGCATAAACATTCATTTCAAATACCGCAGTTCTCAGTGTTTTTAAATTAGACATTTACCCGTCATCGTATATTCTGTTCACTGCATAGTTTAATTCATCGGTTCCCCTGCAAAAAATAAAAGCAGATAACGTGAAAAACTGTAATAACGACTCTTAAAAGTGACTTTACTCTGTCAGTTTACACCTGACTGTGGACCAAATCAATCATCAGCAGTGTTCGTTTTGGAAGTTAAAAATTGTGATTGAAAAATCACAAGTAAAGACGTCAAGTGCAGAAAAAAACCATCGAATGATATGCTTGCAGAGATGGGTGCATAGGATAAGTTTATCAATAGATTTTTGTGAAGGCCAAAGTCTTATAAAGAACTGGAGTACACCATATTTAACGTAAGTAAATGGTCTGTGAGTCAGTCAGTATACTAAGAAAGATGTGCTAAGACGTTTTTTCTTTCAGACGAACAAACAAACAAACAAAACTAGAAATGATTTCTACTCACTTCTGAAATGCGACTGAGTTGATGTCCTTATTCCTTTTAGCTCTCCTATTTAAAAACAGGTTTACAAAGTCACATCATAGGAAAGAAAACCATAGGTAAGAGTTTAATCGTTATACAATGTAAATATCATATAAACATCTTCATGTCTTGTTCATGAGTTAAGCCTGTACTTTTCAAGTTCTTTGATGCCGTCGCTAGACAACGAATTTCCCCGTTTAGAGCTCGTTCTCACCTTTTCCAGTAAAATACACCCAAGGCAGCGATCAAAATGCTTAATATCACGGGTAACACCACAGCAAGTACATTGACACCTGTCAAAAGATGAACGCATCTACCCAGTTAAACATTCAAGTACAAGGAGTTGGTTTCCCTCGTATCTCAAAAATAAATGCCTTGTCATAAAAGTTGGATAGGGAGGTATGATAAGGCCATTCCTCATTACGACCCTGGTTTTTTTTAGCCCACATTGACTCATCTTTAAGGGAGCAGGAGATAAACACTTTATTCGTGTTACTCGAACTTGGGAAATTAGTCTGAAATTGGGTGTGGTTTTCTTCGAGACTGACGCGGATCAGCCTTTTTGCTGACCAAAATTCTGAAACAATAGGCTATCAACAGCGAAGGGAAAAAGCCTTTAACAGAGTTCAATATGAAAAAACTGGTGATGGATGATGACTCTAGACTGTGCGATCACAATCTACTTACCGTTTTATTACCTTGCTCAACGTAAGTCGAATGTTTTTGTGAATTGCAATAGACAAAAAAATTCACATGATGATGATTAAATTGGTTAACTCCTCAATGATAGTTGGTGAGATAAAAATGTTTAATTATGCTGCCCAGTTTCAATAATTTCCTTTGTGTTGGATGTTAAGCCTCCATACGCACGGGTTTTGTTTTCTTAACGCATCGTCTGACGCGACAACACAACAATTAGACAAAATTTTCAGCGGCACCTTCTGTTTTCCGGTTCCCTCTGCTCGCTGCGGGTCTTCCCTCTTCTCTGCCGTTTTTAGCTTTTGTCGTCATTTCGGATGGTGGTGCCGTTGGCGAATAGGTAAGCGCTAGGAGGTCAAAGAAAGTTTCAAATTCAGGTTTCAGGTTTTTTCTTACTAAAAAATTGAAACATGTTCAAGAATTCGCGGTGACAACATGATACCGAAAAGACCAAATTGAATGGTTGCTAATTTGCACAGACTTTGCTCATCGTAAAAGCAAACTGAGGTTTGCAAGGTAGGAATGAGATGATTGTGCTCTTTTCTACAATCGGACCAACTCTTTGTATCCATGTTTCAGTTAAACATTAAAACAGGAAAAACTAGCCAGTCAAGGCTTGTGCGCTGAAGCCAATCAAATTGAGCGAAAACGAAAGTAATGTAACTAGTTATAGTTCTCACTAGAGCTGCCCCCGCCCTACAGTACCATTTCCTTTTTTTTTTTTGAGTTGGGCTTGTTGTTTACAGTTGTGTAGTTATGACCATTTGCGGGAAAAACGTTGATACCTTGCGGCCGTACAAGCGATCAAATCGAGATTTTTTTTGGTTACGATCAACCGAAAACACCTACATTCTCTCTTCTCCAGTCTCCCTCTATACTAGGACAAATCTCGTGTCAAAGACGCCGATCCTAAAAGTCCTCGCGCGCGTGTCTTTTTACTGGCAGCCCATGACCATTTGCGGGAAAAACGTTGATACCTTGCGGCCGTGCAAGCGATCAAATCGAGATTTTTTCTGGTTATGATCTACCGAAAATACCCACATTCCCTCTTCTCCAGTCTTCCTCTATATTACGCGGGGAGTCCTAAGGTGCCTCCTCGGGTTTTTGGCCCTCTGGGGCCAAAAACCCTGCGGGGGCAATAAAATGTAAAAGAGTGAAGAGTGACAGTCAAACATCGTGTAAAATAAATTAAATTAGTCTGAAATCATAATTGAGATTTCAAATTAATCACCACTATTAAACTGAGAGCATCTTAAAATTGCCTAGCAGCCAATCTTTCATTGTAAACTCAGGCAGGTATTGCACCCAAAATTTCTCTATGAGCAAAGGCGTCATCACGGTTCAGCGATACAAGACAGCTACTGTACCTGAGCAGCCGTAGATTTCCACTCTCATCGATATATGATTGTGCCACTCAACAGGAATCAGGCGAATGTAACGTACTGATATTGGTGGACTGAGCATGTTTTTTACAACTGTGTCACTGTCCTGATTTCCATAAAATACCTGACGTTGAGACAGTAAAGCCAGAAATTATCAATTTGCTGAGTAACTATAAAAGAAGGGACCTGAAGTTTTTTTTAGAATTTTACGGCCGACAATTAACTGCTTCACTTAAAATAAGCACTTGAGTCAAAATGGGGTCAAGTGGCAAACCTCTTTGTTCCTTTCAGCAGTAATCATACCTTTGCTGAACTGTCTTCCGTTGCATTATAAAATTAAAAAGTCACTCCGTCACTGCTATACTGTATGCGGTATCTGGACACCCACTGGTTTTTCCCATTCATCCCCTGAGTTGCAACACCTGTCATTTGGAGATTACCGCCGATATCCACTTGAAGCCACTGATTGAAGTTATTGCTCAAGGCTGACCATCCCCCTCCCTTGTGCCAGTCTGCTTTTGAGTTTAACCTTGCCTCCTTTGCGCTATGGTTCCCATCCAGTTGCGATGATACCCTTATGTTGGCATCAGGTATTCCTTTATTCTCCATACCAAGCGCTGCAGCGCATCCTGTGTTTAAAAATAAAGATATTTTTAGGAGATAAATGATTCGGATCCTTTCACAATGGCAACACATTCGCATAATCCTCGAAGAACAAGATTTTGCATAATTTGTGAGACGGCTTGAATGATTATATTTCAGCATTTAAGGGCCAGTATCTGAAGATATAAAGGTTTTGATATTAAGTAACCCTATTTAGAGAATGATCAGTTATAATTGTTAGTTCAAAGCACCTGGGCAGCCATAGATCTCTATCCTCATCGAGATATGATTGTGCCACTCCACCGGTATAAGCCGTATAAATCTTGTTGTGATTGGGGGCCTCACACTGTTGTAAACCACGGCCTCGCTGTTTGTATTTCCCGTGAAAATCTTAAGACAATAAAAAGGAGAAAAATCAACTGATGCGTCATAAAAAAGGAATGTGCATGACATGAATATGGCATTTGGCATTTGTGTCACTATTAATTAGAAGAACTCCAATATTCATTCCTTTTGGATGCATTTTTTTCTAATCCTTAGGTGCTTAAGATTACCTTTTCAAGTTGCAGAAATGATTAAACATACCTTGGCTACACTGGCATTTGATGGTTTGTACACCTGGAAGCTTTGGCCTTCCTCGCTGTACTCCACCTTATACTTGGTCACCCACTGGTCGTACCCATTCCTTCCTTGAGTGGCCACACGTGTCACACGTTTATCAGCACCAAGATCCACTTGAAGCCATTGGTTAGCATCATTTGTGAGAGCTGACCAACCTCCGCCGAAGCCACCTTCCGCTTTGTAATTTAACCTGGCCTGGCTTGGGGGGGTTTTGCCACCCAAAATCGAGGATGAGGTTATTTTAGAGTCAGCGATATTTCCGCTTTCCATACCAAGGGGTGCGATGCAGTCTAAGAAATGCGAAAAAATGGTCATGAAACAAATGCAGTTTCCTTTGGGGAAATGATGATACTTTATTAATACATAACTACCAATAATAAACGCTGATACCTTAAAACTTGCGGGTGGAAAATGATCATGCAGTTGACTTGATACACTTATAACTGTATCTTTTCAATCAATTACTTGACCTTGCCACAGGCTATTGCTAATTCAAAAGTCCGTATGGTCATTTTATTGAAGAAGACACCTCTTAACTATGAAAGTAAAAAGTCGCTGGAAAGAATTGACTGTACCTTGGCATCCGTAAATCTCAATTCTCATTGATATGTGTTTGTGCCATTCTATCGGCAATACCCGGATGAAACGCGCTCTGATTACTTTAGTCAGTTTGTTAACGACAACCGTTGCACTGTCTTCATTTCCGTCGAAAACCTTCAAAAGGAAGTTTAAAAAGGAAATGTAGTTAACCACCGCCTGGTTAGCTCATGTGGATGAGCGCCGGACCACTGTGCGGGAGGTTGGACCCACACTCAGGGCCTTAAAATAACTTAGGAGAATGTGCTGCCTTTGCTATGATATCTGCAAGCGGTTAGAAATTCTAGTCTTGGATAAGGACCCGTCTCCTGCATCTTCTTGGTACTAGTAAGGGGACGTTAAAGGACCCACACACTTATCGCAAAGAGTAGGGAACGTAGTTCCTGGTGTTGTGGTCTGCCCAAGAAGAACCTTTCGAATCCGTAGAGAGAAAATGCTCGTAATATGGTAAATATAAATATAATATAATACATTTTGTTTGCTTTGGTATTCTCCACCCGACCCTCCCTCAACCATTCATTTAGGCTGTTCAAATTAGCAAAACTGGCCTAAAAGTTTTCTCATTTACTTACATCGGCCTCATACTGATCCAGCCGTAACGTTGTGGGGTAAATATTACATAGTGTCAATTTATCATTACTTCACATCAAGAATACAGCCGTAAGAGCATACCTGTGCAGAACTATGTTCTGCTTTCTTGTAAAAGTTGAAGTAAATCCCAGAATGGCTAAATTGTACTCTGTATTTTGTCACCCACTCATCGAGTCCATCTATCCCCTGTGTTGCTACACGCGTCACAATTGCCTTACTTCCAAGGTCCACTTGAAACCATTGATAAAGATCGTTCTTGAGAGCTGACCACCCCCCATTTTTACCACCTATGGCTGCTTGAGTGTGCAACCTGGCCTGTGTTGGAGCACGATCATCATTCAGTTGTGAGGAGGCAGATATTTGCGCATTAGAGATGAATTTACTCTCCATGCCGAGGGGGGATACACAGCCTGAATATGTCGAGAAAAACATATCGCAGATATAGCTACAAAAAGGTTGAAAACCTTTTATTTATGATCTTGTAATACGTACAATCAAGTGTTAACGTTTGGAATCACTTTTAACTTGCTCTTTTAAGCCGTACCACCCAAAGTTGAGGTCATTCCTTTAGAGAGGAGTTATTTTATAACTAAACTAGTGATAGTTAAATAAAACCTTCGAAAGGCTAGATAGTTAACATACCGTTATCAACGTTACGATGACAAAAGGTCGTCCATACGAATTTTGTGGGTTTACCTCCATCGTTCAGGTAATTTTCGTCACTATCATAATCAGCGGTTGCAATACTGTTTGTTTTACATGTGCAAGTAAGATATAAACGAAAACAACTGCATTACCTTATAATGATAAAGATGATGTTAAAAGTGGTGATCATAGTGATGATAACAAAAATTATGGTGATGACAATAATAATAATAATAATAATTATTATTATTATTATTATTATTATTATAATGACAAGAAATATAGAAATTACCTGGACAGCCATAGATCTCAACCCTCATGGATATGTGTTCGTGCCAACTCACTGGTCTAATTCGAATATAGCGTGCTCTGATTGGCTGGCGTACGTCGTTAAAGACTACGGTCTCTCTGTCTGTATTTCCTTGGAAGACCTATTCAAAGTTTTTAGGATAAGTGAAAAGCGAGCTCTCAATCAGAACATTGAACATTGCGAAAGGCCTCAAACCCCCCCTCCCAAACAATGAAGCTTTCAGGAAGAGGGAACATTACTTTCCCATTCTCGGTCACTCTTTTCTCTCAAAAGTTTTAAATTTAATGTTGAATTAAGATCACTTACAATGTCTTAAAAATTGAATCAATATTGCTCTAAAGGTGTACCTTGTCACTTTCGTGTGGCGTCTCCTTGTAAAACTGAAAAGATACTCCATCGTCACTATACTGCAATTTATATGCTGTCACATATCCTTCCCAATCTCTCCAGTAATACATCCATCGTCCGCCTTGGGTCGCTATACCTGTCACTGTGGTGTATTGACCAAGATCTACTTGAAACCATTGGTTTAAATCCTTTATACTCGATAACCAACCACCAGAGGTGCCGGAAGCTCTCTTATAATGTAACCTTCCTTGCCTGGCTGCATGATTATCATCCCGATGCGAAGAAGCGCTTATCTGTGCATCGGTGATTGCCCCACTATCCATGCCAAGTGGTGCTACACAACCTGTTTGTATTGAAACAAGACAAGAAAGCGAAATGTTTATTTTCTCTTCGTACAGTTGAGTTCTTCCTTTAAGCGCACCGTGATACCTTTGTTCTCTTTACTTACTGAAATTTGGACGAATTAAAGGTAAACACTATACAATGAAAAACTATGGCTACTAAAAAGGGGACGTCATCTTCAAAAGTTATGATAGATTCACATGAATAACCTGTGATAGATTTGAGAGGCTTTGGTTGTTTTAAAGGTTTTGTCAAATCAATTTTCCAGCGTCACCCGAGCCGGATTATTGCCTACAGGAGATGTACCTGGGCAGCCATAAATCTCCATTCTCATCGATATCCAGTTGTTCCAGGCTACCGGTTTCAGTCGGATGTAGCGTGTGGTTATTGGTGGGCTCAATATGTTATAAACAACAGAATTTTTGTCTTGATTTCCATTGAACACCTAAACAATTGACAAGGGATAGAAAAAATTAGGGTAAATTTTTTAACACTGCTCATGTTCGCTCCACCTGACTTGGGGTCTTACCGATTTGCTGTCTGATGTTGAGCAGATGAATATATGAGTTCTAATGCGTGAATGGAAGATGGACCGACAGATGTGCGGTGGATCGATGGATTAGGCAAATGGATTGGAAGGAATGATAATGGATGAATCCGGGAATGGACGGATTGAGAGGTGGATGAATGGATTGGGCGAATGTATGGAATTGATTAATAGTTGAAGGACTATATAAATAGATAAAAAAAATATTTATCCGAGTAACTTTGATCAAAGAAAATCTAATTTTAAAGATCATGAGAGATCTTTATTTGTTTCTACTTTCCTTGAGATAGGACCAGCCGAGCATACTCAATAATTCCTTCGTATATAGGTAACCAATAGTAGTACGTGATTACACGTGCAGCATGATTTTACTGAGCAATACTAATTAGGTTTGAAGTGGGAGCAAAAGATTTAATGGATGAATGTATGGATGGACGAACGGATGAGTGCTTGGATAAATCGATAGATTGAGCCAATGCATGGACGGACAGATGGATGAATGGATGGATTTTTAGACGCATGGAAGGAGAAAAGGAGAGAGGGAGGGAAAGAGGAATAGATGGGTGGATGGATGGGTGGATGAGGTTCCTTTCTCGGACACATTTCTATTTCTTCTAAAATATTTGTCGGTTCTGCATTTTTTGATGAAACAACCGCGAATGTTACCTGCACAATAGCTGCACTCTTTAACTTAGCAGAGAAAATAAAGGCTTAGGATATCTGGTACCTTGGCAGAGCTGGATCTAGCTTCCTTGTAGAGGTGGAAGGTCATTCCATCATCACTATATTGTAACATATATCTGGTCACCCACTGATCGTAGCCATGTATCCCCTGAGTCGCCAGGCGCGTCACTTTTGTGTGACTACCAAAATGCACTTGAAGCCATTGGTTACGATCATTTGTGAGAGCTGACCAACCCCCAACTTTGTAACCATCCGCTTGAAAATGTAACCTGGCCTGTGATGCGGAGTGATTGCCATCCAGTTGTGACGATGCTGTTATCTGAATATCAGATATTGATCCAAATGCCATTCCAAGAGGATTTATGCAACCTTAGTTTGACAAAAATGAACGGTAAGAGTTAAAAATAGATGCCATTGTTTCATGATAATGGCTACCTATTCCTGTGGTCAGAACCGCATTTAAAGATATTGTCATTCACAACATGCAGCATGCCACAGACAGCCTATCAAAAAGAGATTAACGTCAGGTAGAATAAATGCAACTTGCTTTCTGTGCAAAAGAAACTCAAAGCCTGGTATTCAATATGTCTTCACAACGAGAATGAGATTATTCTACATACCTGGACAACCATAGATCTCGATCCTCATTGATATTCGATTGTGCCATTCAACGGGTTTGAATCGAATGTAACGCGTTATAACGGCTGGAGCCAGTGTGTTGTACACGGCAGTGTCACTGTCTTTGCTTCCTTTGAAAACCTTAATACAAAAACGTAAATACCTTAACAACAAAGATGGTTACTCAAAGTCTTCTTCGGTGTTAATTTTTCTCAAAACAAGTGAAAAGATTGCCAAATGAGCCAAAAACTTCATAGATTCCCCACGCTTCTTATTTCTTACAATTCGCTTCAAATAAGAAACATTTTGAGAACAAAAGCGTACGATAGAGTAGATTTACGTCGATCTCCATGACCATAATTTTTTTACCAGAGCTAACGTATACTGAGTAGAACTGAGGAACTCGCTAAGCTTCGTGTGTAAAAATTTACACAAAATAAAATGATGTGAAATTTCATTCCTAAAACAAAGTCAAAGGAAACAAAATTTGGTGACTATACTTCTGAAAACTTGTCTTTACCCTGGATTCTTTCCAACTTGACAATGGAATTCAGAAATATCCTGGCAAGGCTTTGATAACTGGGATTGAATAAAAATTTTATTTTTATTGCTTTTGCCATTGAGAATACTATTGAGAAAACCACTTCAAAATGCAAACCTTCGCGACAAAATCTCCTGGATTCTCAAAGAAATGAAAGGTGTCTCCATCTTCACCATATTGCAGACTGAACTTGGTCACCCACTCGTCACGCCCATTGCTCCCCTGAGTAGCAATGCCCGTCACCCTTACATAAGTACCAAGATCCACCTGAAGCCATTGGTTTACGTCATTTTTAAGCGCTGACCAGCTTCCTCCGTTTTCTCTATTTGCCTTTGAATGTAACCTGGAATGCTTTGCGGAGTGATTTTCATCCAGCTGTGTTGACGACTTTATTTGAGAGTCCGAAATTCGTCGATTTTCCATGCCATACGGTGACATACATCCTAAATTAAAAGCGAAAACTAAGTTTTTAGAAAACCTTCTTATGGCCATTGGTTGTAAGATCGACTGGAGTTCAATTTTTTTTGTACTAATACAACCGTTGTAAGGAAGTTGGACGATCGCCAAGCGGGAGTTCAAACTAGATCTCATAATCACGGGTATGACTACGCACAGAGTTAAGCGACACAAAGTTCTATTACCAATTCATAAAAATTGTGACAAAATACGAGGAAAAAAAATATACAGTGGTTAAATGTGTTTATGAGCAAAAACATAACAGTCGAGAAAGATTCGATACAATAGCACGTGCGTATGACGTTGGCTGTCAAAAAACATGACGCTCAAACTGTCCCTTTACACTGCCCAATTATAAGCGTGACACCTGGACTGCTTTTTGAGTGCTTAAGTAGGTCTACTAATAGCCAATTATGTTCGAAGAATTAATCGTAGTCACTAAAATAAGGATTTAAAACTACCTGGACAGCCATACAATTCCATCCTCATTGAGATGTGGCTGTTCCACGTCATTGGTATCAACCGTATATACCGAGCTATTATTGGTGGAGTCAATTTGTTGTATACGACCGTCTCTGAATCTTGGTTTCCATCAAACACCTAAGTATAATGATCACTGATTTTAAACAAGTAATCTAAGATTCAAACATTATTCCATCGATTTCTCGTTTCAAGACGCTTTATGAATGATATTTCATACACATCTGTAGAGCAAAACTCAATACATAAGGGAAGAGATTGCTCATATATACTTAAATGAGCTGAAGTAAAAATCCTTTGTAATAGCCGTTTTTCAACGGTTTTCTTTTTAACGGTTTATTTCTTGAAATAAAACCTCAAAGATAGCCCTTTCAAGTGAGGTTTTACCTGTGAAATTGTTACCACACCTTTTCTGAGCTGCTGTCAGATTCCTTATAGAAAGTGAAGGTCACACCATCATCGCTGTACTGCAAGCTATATTTGGTGACCCATTCTTTAAATCCGTTTCTTCCCTGGGTCGCCACTACCGTTACCCGCGCAAAAGTATTAAGATCCACTTGTAGCCACTGATTACGATCATCTGTGAGAGCCGTCCAGCCACCTTGCTTTTGACCATTTCTCGTAAGGTGTAGTCTACCTTGTATTGCAGAATGATTTCCATCCAGTTGCGAGGAGGCACTTATCTGAGCATCTTCTATTGTCTGACTTTCCATTCCGAGGGCAGTCATACATGCTACATTTGTTGTTAAGAGATAAGCGTCAGATGCAGATACTATCCAAACTTTACACCACACTTATTTACTTTCTCTTTCAATAATGGCCTCTGATAAACTATTGTAGTCACCAAAAGGATTGGTTAATTTCAGTCAAAATTACTTCGATAAAATACCAAAATTAAATCACACGCATTCATCTCACTGCACCCTCTATTTCTCTCAAAATTCTCTAATCAGTAACTAAGATCCTTCTGACTCGCTGGTATATGACTCTGGCTGAAAAGCCTGTCTTTAAAATTTGATAGCTGATTTTAAAGTCCTATTAAGCTTCTCAGTCAATCTAGTTATAATTGTTTTCTGAGGTTTTTTGGCCAGCGGATTCTAAAACTCAGATCAATAATCGCCATACCTGGACAGCCAAAGATCTCTGTTCTCATGGAAATCTTATTGTGCCAACTGGTTGGTATAAATCGTATAAACCTTGCTGTGATTGGAGGATTCAGATTGTTATAAACAATGGTATCACTTCCTTTATTCCCATTCAGCACCTGTAAATTGTAAGTAGCATGGATTAAGTCTATTTTTGGAAGGGCCCTCGAAAGTGACATACACTGCCCTTACAAGGCCCTTATCTTTCATTTGAAATCAGTCAAAGTATGTGCAATAGTAATATTTCAAGAAAGTAAATATTACGCATGTTTCAAAATTATTGCATTTGTGAAAAGAGTATGGATTGAAAGAGTTGTCACCTATAGCCTTAAACGTACCGTCCATTCGTTGTCACCCTGTTGCTTGTAATACTGGAAGTTTTTTCCATCGTCACTGTATTGTAACTTGTATTTGGTCACCCACTCGTTGTTGGCATTCAACCCTTGAGTCGCCACACGTGTCACTCTAGTATAACTGCTAAGATCGACCTGCAGCCATTGGTTTTTATCGTTTGTCTGAGCTGACCATCCCCCAGCTTTATTTCCTTCTTCTTTAAAATTCAACCTGGCCTGACTTGGTGAATGGTTGTCATCCAGTCGCGAAGAAGAACTGACCTGGACATCAGTGATCGATCCATCCTCCATTCCAAGCGGTGCAAAGCATCCTGAGTTGTTTTGAGAAAAAAAAGGAAAAGAAGGGAAAAAAATAAGAAGAAAAAGCAAATTTGGCAAGGTATTTATTTGGTGGGATGAGCCAACCAATCTTCGATTTGCTTTACTTGGTTTCCTCACACAATTCAATCCTTTTCCTCCAACCTTATGTATGACAAGAGGTGTGAGTTTACTGAAAGCTGACTCTATTAAGGGCATATAGGAGACGAGCTTATCCAAAACGGTGGTAAGAGTGTCGAATACCAAAACCAAATTATTCTCAAATACCAATCAAAACAAAAGTTAACCTTATTAACCAATGAGAACTCATATAAAAACAGGCAATCTGCTTGAAGCACGGGAAAACGCTAGTTACTAAGTTGGGATTGGTTTTAGTTTCGCACTTCATTGGCTGAGATGGTGGCCCGAGTCTTCCAGACCAATCTCAGTGCAGAACAAAGCAAAATCAAAGCAATCCAGGATCACTATCAATAACCAATTGAAACCTGCTTTGATAGAAAATTGACGGATGTAATTAAGGATGTGATCTGTGAGAGTTGCCCTTAATGCATTGGCTAATTTTTATATTAGTTTTAATTCTCAACTACATGTAATATGTAATTAGGACAGATCTTTTAGCCATGATATTTTATCCACAATTTTTCAACCTTTAATGTTATATGATTTTGTTTATGTAATGAAGTATTTTATAAAAGCTAGTGCGAACGACCATGAAATATTAAGTTTACAAGTAATATGAAATAGGTACAAATTAACACAACCACTGCAACAGCAACAACGAAATAGACAGCGATATGATACTAACCTTCGCAACCATAGATTTCCACTCTCATAGAGATGCGATAGTACCATCCCACCGGATTGAACCGGATGTAACGTGCCGTAATTTGCCTTGCCAATTTATGGTATACGATGTTGTCTGAGTCTTGATTACCATCAAATAGCTGAAAAGAAAATCATATTCACTTTACGGTATTTGGAGGCATTGTGACAAGTAGCTTTATAAATAATTTTATGAAATAACTGAGATAGTATGCATGCTCTCCTTAGTTAACTCGTCAGTCTATATGAGAATACCTAAACAAGGTTTTAACGTCGCACTTTTACAATACTTGTTAAGGAATTTCATGTACAAGTAAACATAACAGAAATGGAGAAAAATTTTCCAAATTCTGAGTTAGGGTATTGCTTTCTCTTTACTCCTGTGACTTAAAAAAAGATAAGGAAAGAAGAACTTTAGCGCCATGTCTGCCTTCATGATCGTGAGAGTGAAAGACGACAAAATACGAAATATATACTTTCTTACTGAGAAATTTTCCCATTTGAGTATTGCAATTATCATGTTTATTACCAAATTTTCACCAAAACGCATACCAAGCTGTGTAATACAGTCTGTATTTGTCTCAAAGCAACTCATAGACGTTCTCAGCGTAAAAAAGTTATTTTCTTAAAGGCAATAATAGTCTTCAACTATTTTATTCAGAATGGGCAGCATACTTTACTAGGCAGCTTACACAAAGCCCGACCAGCGATTCAGCTTCTCAACCATGTTCTCGGGGTACCAAATCGGGCAAGTTTTCGTCACTCTCCAAAGTAATCAACCGCAGCGATAATCATTTTCAACCTAATCAAACCTCTTCTCTTGAAGTTCTTTCCTTAGGGAATCGTGTATCTTAAACATTTCGGGAGTAATCTTTCAAATTTACGGCATCATTTCATTCACACGGTGCTTCGTTTGTCGTGTTGTTGAAGAAAAATATTTCATGAAAAGCAATTATGGAAGTATTTCCTTGTTTATTAAACACGAGGGAGTGGGTTTGAGAGAATTTGAGAAAGTTAAGCAATATAAAATTTTACAAAGTTATACTGGCTGGTTTCCGCATTCGCTATCACGTACGTCTGTTATCAAACATCAGAAACAGGAAGAAACGCATCTTTATCCGTTAACTTTCTTGAATTCTCCCAGCCCCATTTGTGTTCAGGTGAGAGTATGTAAACAAGAAAAGTTACTTATTACTTAATAGTAACTCACTAAAGAACCGAGGAGTCTTCTACAGCAGAATTATTCTTCAGAAGATGAATGAAATTGTCTTCGATTGTTTCAGAATAAACCAAAAGCTTAACTGGTTACGAATCTGAATTGTATTTCTATGTATTTCTATTGTATTTCCCGCCTCTGACAAATTGAAGTTAGTTGGATCTTCAAATATTCAACTTTGCTTCCCTAGTTCATCACAATTTTTAAGGTTGGCAGTTGATTCTTTTAATTTCTCAGTTATGAGCAAACCACTCTGGATTTTTTTGATCCCCAAACGTTGCTTTCGTTCTTTACTCCAAGTTTGATTGTTTTTTTTCCCTTTCAGAAGGTTTCCGTTCTGTAGAACGTGGTTTTCAAGCTTCCAGAAAACTAACTGAACTTAGAATTTGCAATAAGCCAAATTTTGTCGCCATCTGTAAAATTCTAAAATATTATAGCCGTGACCGGCTTTCGCACTAGCTACCACCCACTTCTGTTACCAAACATCAGTAACAACGAGAAAGACTAAAAATACCTTGACTGAGTTGTCGCCTTTTTCTTTGTAAAAATGGAAGTTTACTCCATCAGTACTGTATTGCAACCTGTACTTGATCACCCAATCGTTGTACCAGTTTACATTCCTCCCCTGAGTTGCGATACCAGTCACAGAGGTGTACCTGCCAAGATCCACTTGAAGCCATTGTTTGAGATCCAGCACACGAGATGACCAGGCTCCTGTCTCTACTCCAGGCAACTTCGAATTCAGCCTGGCCCTAGACGGGGCATGATTGTCATCCGACTGTGTTGAGGCAGTTATTTGTGCATCCTTGATTGCTCCACTTTCCATTCCAAGAGGTGTGCGGCACACTGAAATAAGTGATCGTAAATTAATTGAGTAAGACTTCATTCGTCTCGTCAGGAGTAAGAAAAAGGGAAAAATTCTGGGTTCTCCTAGAAGAATCGAGTTCCAGAAGCTCGAAAAATTTCGCCCTAAGGCTGTATTATCAAGCTAGAGAGCACTGTGGTGAGATTGGCTATTATTAGTCATATTTGACACGTGTCCCGCATGCTGCACCTTCTACAAGATCAAAATTGTTGGTAGTGTTGTGTTGCTGAATAGAGCAGAAAAGATGGTTAAATGGCATGCACTTCAAAGAAGTAAATAAAGTGAACGTTATTGCACTGAGTGTGTCTACTGTAATTTATTTCCCGACGCAAATCCTCTTTATACCAGACTGTAAGTCTACTTTCTCGAGCGAAATAAGTTACACTTGTGTCATTTGCGCTATTTTACATTAAAATTAATTTTGTATTGCCGGTACTATCTTAAAAGGTATATTAAAGGGCACCCCTACTCCGTGTTTTGTTGAAATTATTTGTGTAACGTTACCTGTACAACCGTAGATCTCTATTCTCATCGCTATGTTTTTATGCCACGTTATGGGTAAGATCCTTATGTATCGTGCTGTGATTGGAGGTTTAAGAATGTTGTAAACAGCATTTTCACTATCACTGTTTCCGGGAAATATCTAAGCGAGAAAAACAGATAGCGTTAGCGTTAGGGGAAAATGATGCTTTAAGCTTGCGAATGATATGCAATGAAATGAAAGAGTTCTGTCTGCCTTTTGTCATGCATTTGAATAACACACTCTAGTGGTACAGCTACGCAATTACAAGAGAGGTCCTTAACTGAAAAACTGCCCTTGACGTCCATAGTGTATCATGGCCTTTGCTTTCATTGGGTTAGAAAGCTGCTTTGTCAGGCATGATTCAAATCCGTTACAATTACAGCGTGAAAATTAACAAAAGACTGCTTTTAGGCAGATTGCATGTGCAAATAATTAATAAACTTTGAAATCTGTCTGAAGTTTATTAACTATGCCAATAATTCTCAAAGCCCTGCATTAAATTAGTTGCAGCTGCATACCTTAGGGTTGCTAGCACCAATTTCCTTGTAAGACTTGAAAGTGATTTCGTTAATACTGTACTCTAACTCAAAGGAAATCACCCACTGATCATAGCCATCCCTCCCTTGAGTCGCCACTCGTGTTACTCGAGTATAACTACCAAGATCCACCTGAAGCCATTGATTACGGTCATTTGTAAGAGGAAGCCAACCGCCCTGCTTTATTCCTCTTATCTTGGTATTCAGTCTAGCGCGCTGCGGCGCATGGTTATCATCCAGTTGTGATGATGCACTGATTTGGCCATCGGCGATCATTCCACTCTCCATACCAGCGGGTGTAATGCAAGCTTAAGGAGAAAATAACAGACAATCAATTATCCTAAGTTAGTTTACTTGGTGAAGTTTCCAACCTGAGTACATAATTTGTAAGTTGGTGTTTTTTGTCGAGTCTTACTTCTCGACAAAATGCTGAGGACATCTTTCCTTTCTTTCCCTTCCATTCTCCTAAACTAGCAATTTTTTAAAATTTATTCATGTGTATGTGGATAAACGTCTTTGTAAATGAACCAAAGTTGCAATTAGTTTGAGAAATTTAAGGAACTTAATTTATTCCTTCATTTTCAAGTGAAATTAATTTAGCAATTGTCATTTTTAGAAGCGCCCTATGAATTGTTTTGTCGATGGCTTAAAGAAGACCTCTTTTCGGATCCGGAAAACGTTTAATCGTGTCATGGTTAAATTTGTTTAAATCAGCTTGTTTGCGTAATCAAAAAACGTTGATGTTGTTTTTTCAGGTGTAATCGACAACTTTTCCACTAAGCTTCAGAGGTAGTATGTTATAAAATAGTTCCATAACTGGATGACCTTTGGTCGACATTTAGTCTGTGTAGCGGTTAACAACAAACAGCCGCGACAGATTTGAGTCAACCCTAATAGTGACCTTTTCATTATCAAGTAATTTTGCTTTGCATCAATTTCAAGTGAAAAAATGATAAGAAGAGGCCAAATAATGTCAGATCTTACCACCAGATTGTCAGAATCAAAAATACACGGTAAATAAGAAATTGAGAAAAGGTTGACAGCTACAAACGCACGCAACAAGTTATACAATCAGTAAAATTGGGAGAATATTTTAGCCATACTGCAGGAGGCAGTATGGCTGAAAAAAAATACACTGAGATAACCTAACAAGAAAATATTTTAAAAGCCACGAATGGTTTTCGATTACCTAGACATCCAAAGAGCTCTATCCTCATGGAGATATGTTTGTTCCACTGTGTTGGGATTATACGGACATAGCGCGCTTTGAGTGGCGGACGAAGGGTATTATACACAACCTCGTTACGATCTTGGTTTCCCTTCAACACCTGGAAATCGTCATAAATGTTACAGTCAAATTAAGATCTAATTTGATACCTAAATACCATAAGTTACTCTATTGTTTGCTAGTTTGTTGTTGTTGTCTTTTTTTTTGGCCGGCTTTACTTTCAGAATTGCACTTGAAATAACAGGTGATAATAAATAACTAAAGAAAGAAATAAATCATTTTTCAGTAGCACATTAACAGAGTGCTTCCGTGGTCTCTTACCCGTGGTTATGTCCTGTTCATACTGAGTGCAAACATTGAATTACGGTATTTGCAGATGTATATTTTCATTTATGAAAACAATTATGTATATTAGAAGTTAGCTCATTTGATAAAATTCCTTAACTAAGGATAAGCCATACCGTGACCGATGTGTCCCCAATTTTTTGGTAGAACTTGTACGTCACTCCATTATCACTATACTGCAACTTGTATCTGGTTACCCATTCATCAACTCCGTTCATCCCCTGAGTCGCCACTTGTGTCACGCGAGTGTAACTACCAAAATCCACCTGAAGCCATTGGTTGGCATCATTTACAAGAGCCGACCACCCTCCAGCTTTGTTTCCTTCGGCCTGAAAATGCAACCTGCCTTGTACTGCGGAGTGGTTTCCATCCAGTTGCGAGGAAGCGGTGATTTGCGCATCAGATATTGACCTACTGTCCATGCCAAGAGGGATAGCGCATTCTGTAATGAGTAAATTTTGGTATTAATCTATTGTTAGACAGGAAGCTTCTAATGATGTAACTGCAATCCAGCTCCCCCAAATACAAAGGTTGAAATAACGATATCCTAGCTATAGTCATTTTCGTTTTGGTACTTTACAAGAATGCCGCGTCCTGACTCAGTTGAAGACTTTTTATGACTGCATCGTTAAAACGCGATCATCGTTAAAAATACCTGCAGTTTTTCCAACAAATTACGAAGGATAAACTTTAACAGCTAAAGGATACTAAATTTGAAGGAACCTTCCTTTCGCGAGAGAAAAGCCATTCTAATTCATATTTTTAACAGAAATAATTTAGAAGTCAAGTCCTCAGTCATTACACTAGAAATGACATTTGTAGCTGCAAAAGTGTATGTTTAATAGCAAATGCGACAGTATGGATTCAGTCTAAAATTAATGATTTGTGATATATGTACAATTATGAAATACCAATGTTGTAACAGGGTCTCTCCTCGTTAAGCCTCGAATGCGTGAAGAACTCCCCCTCTTCATAACAAACATCTATTTCCCACAACATATCCTGTATAAAACAATATTTGGACAATACCTAGACAACCATATATTTCAGTTCGCATTCCAAGTCTGTTACCGTGCCGGGCTAAAGGTTTGAATCGAATGTAACGAGCTGTGATTGCTTGCCTCAGCTTGTGAGACACAACTGACTGGGAGTCTCTATTTCCGTTAAACACCTGTTAAATCAAACACAGTATAACTATAGAGACATAATCGAATTTTGCACATCTTAAGACCATTTACACCAAGAAGTAGTATAGGAAGAACAGAAAATTAAATGGTAACCGCGTAAGTGACTTTAAAAATTAAAATTTTTCTTCATGGCCCGACGCCAAAGGTGGTAATATAATGAGTAAGTATTTTCACGAATTTGTCACATGAGCAAAAGTATTCCATGAGCATTTAAGTTACTTTCTGTGTATACCTTTGGTACAGTTTCTCCAGGTTCCCTGTAAAAATGGAACACTATTCCATCGTCGCTGTATTGTAAATTGTAGCTAGCCGTCCCAAAATAAGACCAATACCACAATTTCCCTCCTTGAGTTGCAACACTTGTCACAGTTGAGTAAGTTCCAAGGTCCACCTGAAGCCATTGTCTTTGATCGTTTGCATAAGTAACCCAGCCGCCGAAGTTTAAACGTGCAAATTTTGCAGAATAGTCACTACTCGAATGGCTGGAGGCGGTGATTTGAGCATCGGATATAACCTGGCTTTCCATGCCAAGTGGTGACGAACAACCTAAATGGGATTAATCAGACATGACACAGAAGAAGAAAGAAGATCGCATAAGACGTCAAAATATGGTCCTCGTTAGCCACTTTTTTGCTCCAACTACATTCGACGTCATCTGTGATCGATTACTTTTACAGATCTACGGCAAAGGAGATAGAGGTAACTTTTGTATCATCAAAGATCATAAACTAGGCGCTGAAAATGATGAAAAGTAGGCACTCTAAGATCCTACTTCACCTGCATGTGCTTTTGAAAAATTATAGATTTTGTGTAAGAGTGGAATAAGATACTATGGCTCTCTTCTCTCTTTGAAAGGAAAATGATTTAGAACTTTAAAAGGAGGTTTGGCATGAATTCAAACATTTAGGCCTTAAGGAGATTTCCTCAATCAGTTTTGTGAACAATTTTCTCTTGGTACAGTTTTCTTTATATCTTTCCTCGGTTTTAATCTTATTATGTTTTGATTGAAAAGTACATTTCGTCCTCTAGCATTAGAAGTGTTATATACCTATGCTTGGTGTCTCTGAGATGTGCTTTCTTTCAAACACTAACTTTTTCTAACTAAAGACCATAATTTTATGAAATACCTCGACACCCATAAAGCTCCATTCTGAGTGATATATGGTTGTGCCACGTGACTGGCAAAAGCCTGATGTAACGAGCTTTGATTGGTGAGATCAACTTGTTATACACAACTGTATCACTGTCTTGATTGGCGTGAAGTACCTGATAGTTAAAAACAAAACTAACTGAGCTTTGACAAAAACCCTACCTTCATTCAGAAGATGCTCATGTACAGACTTTAAAAATCTTAAAAACACTTGTTTATGTCTCAATTGTTGTTGATTGAGTGGTAAAAAGGCAGAAAACATTCTCGAAACTTCTCGAAAAGCGCTGGGAAGTCCCGATTCAGAGAAGATTTCATTCGAAATTAATTTTTAAAAATATGTGATAAAATTTGTCATCCAAAGAAATTTTACCTTTGCTGACATTTTTCCAGGTTCTTTGTATGACTGGAAGATCACTCCGTCAAAACTGAACTGTAACGTGAAAGTTGTTATCCACTGCCGCCATTTTGTTGAGTTCCTTCCCTGAGTCGCCACACCTGTCACAGTGATGTGACTGCCAAGATCCACCTGAAGCCATTGGTTATGATCATTTTTAAGGGACGACCACCCCCCTTTCTTGATTCCTTGTTCAATGGAGTTCAGTCTCGCTTGTCTTGGTGCGCTGTTGTTGTTCATTTGCGAGGACGCACTTATCTGGGCACCAGAAATAGCGCCACTCTCCATTCCAAGGGCTCCTGCAAATTTATCAGACACAAGAGGTCAAACAGCCGGTATGTACACCTGATTTGAGCGCCAAATTCTAATTAATAACTCATGAATAAGCTTTCTTTTGAAATTTTCATGCCTCGCAAACGAAATTGAATATAAAATATTTTTCATGGTACAAAGTTTAAGCTCAGGAGCCACGTCAATTTTTAGGAATTCAACGCAGCTTTGAATCACCCTTCACGCGTAACATTACACGTTTTCATTCGATTAACTCAATAGTGCTAGTGGTTATGGCTTGTTCTGATTTTCGTAAAATTCCCGAGTGCATTGAAGCAGATTATTTCCAAGTTTTTGCAAAGATATATCTCAAACTTTGAAATTGTCCATACTTATTTGTAATGCTGTCAATCAACAGTCTCTTACCAGAACACTTAACAGCGCTGTAAGAGGCTTGGAACCCAGGGAAGGAACCATCCTTATCTGATCTGAATATTACAAGAAGGCTGTTTGATGAGGAATAAATTCCATTCCTGGGAGGAGGCTGAGCCCCATAGAACACTCCTAACACCTCCCTTGTTTGATTATTAACATCGTACACATAAACAGCGTCCGTGTTGTTTTCAGATTGTAGACTGAAGCGTGTAAACATTAAAGCCACTTGGAAAGATACGTTCACTACGATCCTCCACATGCAGTATTGCCCATCTGGGTACTTTTTTGGATAGTTGGGTGAGTGAATGACGCCTTTGTCTCCGTGTAGAGTTTGGTTTTGACATTTATAGTTTCCTGTAAGTTAGACAGTTATTTTGCCTATAATTAGAGTCATCCTCATTAAACTTAGTGGCACAGAAAGGCTGTCACAAGTTTCTGCAACGGCTTATGCATGGTTTTGTTCATTCTCGCTCCTCTCTCAATCAATGCTCGGCTAGTGTGAGTAAGAGAGCTGATTTTTACTGACAAGCACACACCACACACACCATTTCCCGAAAACTGGTTGATCAAGGTAGAAACCCCAAAATCCTGTTCACTCACTGATTTATGTACATCGGTGGCTTGTGAAAGCAAAGAGGTACTAAGCGATCTCAAACTGACTTACTTGTTTGGCAAAAGCATAGACATTAAGTACATTAGACTTTCCTGACTTGACATACTTGATGATAGGGGAATTTTCGAAGTTATTTCACTGGGCCCAAGATATTTCTGTTTCCGCCGTTGTATAATCCAGGCTGGTCGGCCTGTGCCCGCGTAACCAGCAAAAGCAAAAGAAGACCGAAAGCTTCCCTGAACAGGACCCTTAGCTCCCAGTCTCTTGAGAGCGCTAACCGCCGATGAAGCATATGCCGAGCCATCGTCTTGAACGGCGACCAAAACAATTTTGCTAAAGCAAATAAAATAACAAAATGCTAAATCCACAGAAAAAAGGTTAGTCCTTGGTTTCCGATATCCAACAGGAGCCAAACTCGTGATAATTGTTTTGATGAAAAGTTTACATGTCAACACTTGTAATTTCAATCGTAATATGTAATTCAGTTACTCAGTAATTTCTTTACTTTCTTTGATTTATGTAATTTTCCTGTTCAATTGTTGTGAAGTCAATAGAGGCTAGACCAATGATGTATTTTACACGTATAATTGACTTGAAACTATTTGAACTGGAACGTTACATGAATCAACGAGAGTATAGAAAACACTGGTTAACCGCTTCGCCAACTCGTCCTACGATCGCAAGTAGTCCTAAATTATATAGCCGGACGTGATCATTACACTGGTGAGTCGTCTGTTCAGGAAAAAATTATTTTTAATACTAAATATGATAGTCGAGATAAAAAGAGTGGGCCATCATTTTGAAGGTGTGATTTCCTCAGAGTAAAATCATAGAACTACACTATAAACCTGAAACAAAATTACATACTTTCCCTTGGTGTTGTTGAGGTACTTCCCCAGGTTACTACCAGCAGAGCGATCCCCATGGGTGTCGAAAACTTGAGAATCAAGAATGACGCCTGGAAAAAAATGAAATATATATATATATATACAAAAAACATATGCCTGGTTTATGAACCCGAAATTATACATGGTAAACTTAGAATGGGAAAATAATATTCTTTTGTCATGGAATCAAGAATGTGCACAATTACGTCCTGGAAAAAATTTGATTTAACTGTTAAAGAATCGTTCAAGACGACGAAACGAGAATTAATACCTGATCCAATGAACCAATCAGAACTAACCATGCGCAATGCAATACAACATTCGAGGCTGAGAGTGACAAAAATCAGATGTTGATTGTTGTTGATTGCTTATTTCGCCTAATTCAAGTAGCTCTCTCCGTGTTACCCGTATCGAGCTTTCCTTTATCATGAGTGAATGTGAGAAATAAGATCATAACAGTGGTTCACACACCTGTTGCACCGTCCACGACAACAACGTTATGTCCTCTGTTGTGACGAGAGTAATCCTTGCCGTTCACCTTGATATAAGCAATACCACATGTGTTCGGAGTCTTTCCTCTATCACTACACCCTTCGCTTCTAATGTAGACATCTATAGCAGGGGCTGTAACAATAGCTGCAACCAAAGCAAACAGTCAGTTTCACTACACTGGTGTAGTGATTAGATTACTGGTGGAAGAAACACAGGATTGACATATGCCATGGAAGCGAACAAACGAACAGACTCCCATAACTTCAAGAAATACATTTATATTTAAAATATATTAAAGTTCACACGGCAACCAGGTGGACAATCAGACATAGTTTGATGCTACTCTGGTTTGCAGATTTAATGAATGTAACCGAAGAAATTACAATTCATAGGCCCAAACTTCTTCGGTTACATTCATTAAATCTGCAAACCAGAGTAGCATCAAACTACATTTATATTTACTTAAAGTGACTTTCCTTGCCACCTAAAATTAAACAAGGGTAAATCCTCGTAGATTAATCGTCGATGGAAGTGAATGATACTTTCTGTACGATCGCTGACTCTAATTTGAAGAACAAATCGTCACGATAGTCCATTAACTCCAGTTTGTTTGCCAAATCAGTGCTGTTGTGAATTCAAGAGTGAACGTGCGCTATTTTTTCTTCTTATGCACTCTCATATTGACAGGTGTCAGATCGTGACAGATACTCATAAAAATGTCTCAGAGTTTGCTTGGAAGCTGTAACATCTTTAACAATACACAAATAAGAGCCTGTTTATATGTACTTGAGGGACCTCAGGCAGGTGAGGTAAGCCGTCAAGGGAGTGTAACCCGTAGATTGTAATATTGTATGTAAACGCGGGCTATTTTTCGACTACGTTAAGCCGGGTTACCCCACCTACTAGGGGGCCCTCACCTTCATGTAAACAGGTCCTAAAAATGTTTCGATGAATTCATATCCTCTGTTTTCTTTACCATTTGCAAAAATTCTTCAGTTTATGGAGATCTCGCCGTAATTACAACACAAAATCATTCGGTTTCTTTCGGTAAACGCTGCGTTTTAGAAAAAATATAATGATTTCATTCACACGTCTACAATCTAAGACACATTTAGTGGGACTCGTCGTACTGCCTCCACTGGGGGGTAACGGGATTAGCATAGAAACATTGGTCATCAACAACACTGGATGAGGAAGGGGGAAGGGTGAAAAAACCTCAAAGAGGTGTCCCTGGGAGTGTAGGTCGGTCTGTATTGGGACAAACTCCGCCCTCTGTCTTGAGTACCGCCCTCGGCGTATCCAAGGCCTAGTGCACAGTCTTCTCTTTGAAACTTGATATCATTTCACCTGCAAATACACTGTTTATGCGAAGTAACGCGACGATCTTAGTCCTTTGTACAGGTATTTCCCTACCCTCCTTCGTGCAAAGTTTCTCTTGCTTGCAATTGAAAACGAATCCTTTTTGTCTTCTGCCTCGAAACGATATACCTCTGAATGTATCAAATGTTTTACTTTTTTTCTGAGTGAAATAACGATACGCGAAAGTCAATTTCTACGAATTTTGAAAAGCACACGATTATTCTCGTCCGCTGAATTAGCATTGTTTCAATAACCAATGTATCCAGCCGCTATTGTAAACAAGATTATTTCATCAATTTAATCGGCCATTGACCTTCAACTGCTTCCACGGTTCGTTTTACGTCAGATCGTAGACAATCGAAGCGATCCACAATAGTATTAGGTTCGCCCCTAACCTTGGATTTTGTTTGTTCAACGATGCTCAATATAAACTTTAAAAGTAAGTCTTAAATAAGAAATTCGGGTGTTCAGGTTGAAGATCACAAGTTATAACTAACAATCCCATGTGTTTTCCGGCCTACCCTAGCAAGATTGCTCCTAAAGCGTCCAAATGGTGCCGTTACTCGTTACTGCGTTACTCTGTTTAGTAGCACCCCTAACACGTCACGGAAAGAAGCTCAAGAGAACGCCACCGAGGCCTCTTTACCTTTTTAAACTCACTGACTAGCTCCGACCAAATTCGAGCACATCTTTTTTAGTGCTTGCTCATTCATTTTAATTCGCCAAAGGAGCCTTAATATGGTAGCTGATAAACCAAATAAAAATTTTCTCCTATTTTAGTTTTGGCTCTGACGACTCGCTTTTAAAAAGTTAGGTCGGCGGAACTCTAGCAATAAAATACACCACAACGCGAAAGCAAAATAGATGGCGCAACAAAAAAAAAGTGATTTGACTTCAAGTTCAGACAGGAGAGTTCAGAACAGAACAGATGGGAGAGAAAGTTTATGATTTAAAATAGATATTTCGTCGCTGAAGGGAGTACCACGATAGGCTTGAACTACAATAGTGCGAAAGAACGTGATTATCTATAAGACAAAGAATAGATTGGAAAAAAACTGGGGTCGATGAAGTCGCAGAGGGAGTTTCATTATGGTTCGGGAGATGCTAGCGTGAAAAATAGTGATTTCGCAGAAGACGTGAAATGGGTCGGGAATGGGCCCTAAAGATTGGGCTTGCATAATTTTGGTATAAATTGGAACATGAGCATCATTTTTGCTATTTTTATAAAAGTAACACTTGAATGAAAGTGATCCTCGCAGTTACTTAGGAAGTAGTGAAAATAAGGCCAGAAAAAAATTCAGGCCTGTACGGGATTTGAACCCATGACCTCTGCGATACCGGTGCAGCGCTCTACCAACTGAGCTAACAAGCCAAATGGGAGCTTGTTATGATGTTGGTTCTAAATAAACCCGTGAAGTGATGAAATAAACGGTTAAGAATATATGAAAGTCATATATTTGAACTGCGGATAAAGACGTGAATGAAAGTGACTGCGAGGATCACTTTCATTCACGTCTTTATCCGCAGTTCAAATATATGACTTTCATATATTCTTAACCGTTTAAAAGTAACACTGCTGGCATAATCAGCATAGCTTTCGTTTTTTTTTTTTTTTTTTTTTTTTTTTTTTTTAGGGAATATTACCAGAGTCATAACTTTTTCGATCTTTAAGATTGATTATTTTTCAAATTCGTTCCATGGGTTAGTCTGTTTTCAATTTGCAATGTCTTGGGGCAAGACTATGTCGTTTGTCGTCTAAAAGGACTGAGCAAACCGGAAGGAAACATTGCGTCAGTTCCGCTTTCACAGAAAGTTACCGCTTTCTCTGAAAGTTATCGCTTTCTCAGAAAACAAAATGTAGTCAAAGAGAACATCGCACATTTTGACACATAAAGCCGCTACTTCTAGTCTGGAGTTATCACACTAATTAATTATGTTTTATCAGAGCAACCACATAACTCCGCCAAAATAAATATCATGCTTTACAAATAATAATATACAACCTGGACATGTTTTGTGTTTCTTTTTTGAAAAGCAATTGTGTGGCACGAGCGTCAATAGCTCAAAAGAGTATGATTCGAATATGACTCGGGGTATGAATTAAAACTCTTTTGCAAAGACACAAGTTTCCCGCTGGGTTTGCAACCCAAGAGTACATTTGCTGAATGCGCTCCTCTTTCTTCTGAATCCCGAGTATGGTGACAAAGTTTGAGTTTAAAGGTTGTCAGCTGAAGAATCAGTTGCAAGAGTAAAGGATTATTTCCTTTGCTACAAACACTATTCGGTCTGAAACGTATCCGGTTTACAGTCCTCTTTGACTTTGCTAGGTGAAACCTTACCTGAGTATACAAAACTGTTTAGCAGTGTAATCAGGCCAAAAGCTTTCCACAGCGGCATCGTGAATTCGGCATTGAAGATGTCACTACACTGGCGATCGCAGAAAAAATGAAATGAGGCGTTTTTGCCCAACCCCTTAAGCTTCAGCTTTTATAGAATTGATTTGTCATCACCCGAAGGCAAAACGTGACTCGTGCACAAGACGGATGTCAAATTGTCAATCTTATATAATAGGGATTTTACTGCGGTTCAGAGAATATTTCTTCAGTTTCCCACTGAGAAATCTCACAACTTGTTCACAATTCATAACTGAAGAGCCCCTTTGATGGTATTTACCATCAAGTTTAACACGAAAGTAGAACATTAAAAGTATTCGATCTATGTCTCAAAGGCGCCGACTTTATGCGAAACTCAAACCTGTCAGAGGAAGTCCAAGTGCTATAAATATCACACGAAACACTTCCTCGCGTGTTCAATTATCTCTCACGTGCAGGTTAAGTGAATTAGTCTGATAATCATGTAATCAATACGATATGCGGTAAGATATTATGCTCTCAGTAGGGCAGGGGAAGTTCTGTTGTGTCATCAAGGTATCTATGTCATAATTATGAATCGCATGTGACGCAAGCGGAACACATACTGCAGCTACGGGTCAGTTTTTGTTCCGTAGGATGGTTGTAGTCGACCCCATTTAGGATTTCTTTGCGTTTTCATCGTTTTTTTAAAGTCACTTGTATTGAAAATAAATATAATCAATGATTTATTAGCCAAGTCAGAGCTCGGCCTCGTCTTAAAAGCAGACGTATGCGTGACATAATCCTAAGCCGTTAGTAGAGAGACATGCCGTCTGCGTCACACCTAGAACGATTTCATTACTACATACTTAGCCGTTCTTGGTCCATGAAATGGGCTAAGGGTATTTCTCCATATGATTTTAAGTAAAAAGGTTAGTGTCATTCCATATGGTGTAACTTTTTGAGCATTTTGTCCGAACACGGGTATGGATTTCAGCCACTGTAAGGTGGTTTCAAAGCTTATCAATAATACAACAGCTTAACGGTTACCAGTGAACAAGTACGCGCCCGAAAAATACGCGCCGACAAGAAGACTGTCCCAAACAGCTTCACTAATTCAAAACATTGCGTCAGAGATCTAAAAGAAAATCAAGTCAAAATTTCCGATTCGAATAATAACTGAACACAGAATGACGTCATACTGACTGTGCCCCGGTCTTCCTGTCTGTGCCTTCGTCCAACATCTGTAAACAAGTGTGATGCACAAGTTCACGTCTTAAACTAATTTGTATATGACAGTAAACGTCTCGCAGTCACGCACATTAAGCAAAAACACATTTGTTGCACATTTAAGAACTCATACTAAATAGGGGAATTTTTGTGCATAAAGAATATTACTGAGTTCCAAAAAGACTGTATAAAAGATGGGAAAGAATATCATCCAGCTACAAAACGCATATCGTGTTATTTACAGACTATTATTTACAACAGAGAGACTAAATTCGTCATTGGAGACCTCATGGTGGCACTAAGGTTAAAGTTCAACACTGAAATCGAACTTAAATGTTATTATTTATCCGGAGGAAGGAAAGTACTTGAAGTTCAGTTTATCTCAAAGGCGCCCAATTCATGCGAAAGACACACCTGTGAGGGGAAGTTCGAGCGCTGTATATGTCGCACGAAACACGCCAAGATCAAATAGAGGATGTCACATGCATGGCCGCGCTTGGATATAAGCCACTATTGCTGTTGCAGCATCCTCTAAGGCTTTGCACTTCTGTTATTCCATGGGTTATAGTAGGTTCTCGGTACTACTCAAGGAGAGTAATGTGAGTGACATCTGATGAAAGGTTGGCAATCGCAAAAGAGTGACGAGACAGCTTTCATAAATTTTTTAGGTTCTACTTTATTTAAAAAAAAAACCTGGATTTGAGGCTGATAATAAAACGATTGTTTCAGATGCCTTTGTTCATCATTGCAAATTGATCTGTATATGTTACATTAAACAGCATTTCAGAACATTTTTTTTTGGTTAAAGTCAATCTTTACGCCCCGGCGCAACGCTGTGTGTGTCGTTAAAATACACCTTAATGATAAGGTCTACGTTTCGTAGAAAAAGTAGGCTCGAACTTCTAACGAAGACCTTCGTTAAACGCTTTAATACATGATATCGACCGCTACGCATTGCGAGGCGTTGGGATACACGTTATTGATAGGGTTTTCATTTAGTAAAAAAATTATATGCTGTTAATCATACTATTGGATCACAAAAAAACTTTCTCCAAAAAAAAGTTATGTTGAAATAGGTACAAAACTCGTTGATCGCGGCCTTTATGTTTGAAAAACATTTTGTATTATGAAACATGAAGTCTACATTTTTTATTGAAAGGGTGTTTCTCCAGGTTCATGAAGGTCAGATCGCTTTGGCTGTCAACCAAAGACTTATTGCATAGGAATCACTAGGTTCCATGTCCCAAAGTGCTCAGTTAGTGGTAAACGTCAACAATTTTTGACGATTGTCGTCGACTTGTCATTTAATATCGGCCACAAATGCTTCTGTGAAAAAACTCACGAATATATCTAGAAACTTTGTGACTTTGAGCTCTAAAAATGGCAGGGGAGCAAGCTGATCGAAAGCACAACCTAATCTTCGAAAAATGAATCAAAAACTACTTTTCAGCCTCGCGATGAAGAAAAGAGTTCCTTTCGCATTTGAAGAAAGGAACAGTTGATGGTATTAAACACAAGAAAGAGACTGCAATTTGTGATAATCATAGTGAATTCAGATTTGATTGAGCGTCGCGACGTGATTTTTATTTGTTCAAATGATGCCTGGTCGGCGGCGGATGTATGCAGGATGCGGTAACTCGTGAAAGCAATGAAGCAAAACGCCAGTAAGAAAACAGTGAATGTAACGCCCTGGAAGGCTTTGTCGGTTGCAGTCAGTTCTGAAAAATAATTTACGAAAATCAGTGCGATATAATTCCTGTAGATTGTTCCACGAAAGACATTGCTCCAGGGAATCCCGTAGGCGCCGGACATAATCCAAATTGAGCACAAAAAGATTCTGAACTGTCTTCTTGTTACTTTGTAACGCTCTTTTTTCACAACGGTTAGATATCTATCGACGGATATTTCAAACAGACCTACCAAAACCGCCACTAATGCACATCTTTACAAAAAAAATGCAACAGCATCACACCACGGGGTTGTTACTATCTACTAATTACCGACGTGAAAATCTGCCTGTTGAGAAATGAAATGTCACAGTTGAAAGCATGTGACCGAACATCTGGGAAAAGTGCTGAATATGCATTATTCCTGATTAACATCGCATGCAAAACCATCAAATATTGTTTGTGGGTAATAAACCTCAGCTGATCTCAATATGATTAAATAGGCATTAAAATAGTCGGCTCTGCAATGATTATAATGAAATGAAAATCAGCGTCAAGCATTAAACCCAGTCTAAAAAAAAGGGATCTACAGCTTCTCGTACTCACAACACTTCCAATCCTCTATCTAGATAACCTTAAGCTGCATTTACCTTGAAAAATTGTCTGCTATATGTATTGGCGAACAAAAAGTTGTGAGGACACTTCTCGTAAACTTTGACGGAGCACGATAGAAATCTGATGCCGGCAGACCTTCACTTGAGTATACTATCTATTTGTGGATTCGTTTCCCGTTGAATGAGCTCTTCTGAATTAGTAAAAGTACCTCGCTAGACTTCTTCACAACATGTTTTCCATTAAGAACGCCTGATTACACAAACCATTACACTTGGGCTTCACGGTGACTCAGCATTACCCTCTGCTTGTTGGTGACGAAAATTGCTACGCGGTAAAGGTAGTTCAGGAAATCCGTTCATGCTACGTCACAGCACTATTTTCAAGAGACCATGCAATGTTTACGTCGGCAGTTAAAAAGGGTGAAATCGAATTCTATAAAGTAACACTCAGTGGGGTTTTAAGATTCGACACAGTAACCCAAATGTCGCTATCTTTAATTGTATCGTTGCTCATGGACCAGAATGCTTTACATCTGTATAAAGTAGCTAAGTTAATATCATTTTTAATTATCACCAACCCGATTTGAGCGCTGATAGAACAGTGTACGCGTCATGCTTATGATTGGACAGTGTAATACGACAGGTAAAAGCACAGTTCACAGGTCATGCCCGTGTAAATGGACAGAACACGTCATGTGTGTGCGGTGTTTTCTTACAATTCGCCGAGTTATCTGTCGTTGTTGTTTTTTTAATAAAAACGTAGAACCGATGTCTAGTTTCCTTCTCAATTTTTGTCATAGTTTTGATTAATTGGAAGCAGAACTTCGTGTCGTCCAATTCTGTCTGTAATCATACTCGTAATTAACAAATTTTATTTTGTTAATTACTCTAATAAATACAGACCGAGTTGGACTCCACTCGGTCCTATTACCTTTAAAAATCCATCTTTTGACGATCTGGTTAATCTACAAGAACCTACAAAGAGGTATTCATGACTCCAAGAATGAATTTGTGGCCATAATGAGAGCAGGCGCTGCTTGTAAACCGCTCGTTGTGATTTCTTGCCATTTGAGGAGTGTGAGGCCAGGTTAACTGTTGAGTTCTTTTCAAATGGCGGCGTCCAAGGTCGAAAATTTTCAAAAAAATTCTTAAAATATCGAACCCACTACTAAAATTAATTACAGTAACACAAAAATTAAGCAAAAATTTTCCACGATTTACCGGTGACTTTATGACTTTTTCTTTGAAACAATTTACCATTTTGTGTAAATTCCTTTTTGTTTGACAGTCTTTGATTTGACCTCAGTATGACACAGACAATCACATCTATGAGGAAAAAGAAAAACGGACGAAGGAAGCCAAACGGTTCGATAGGATTCAAAATGGTTCAAAACGGAGTTGAGTTGGACCTCTTCCTGATCCTGCAGGTCTATAAGGAATTCTCCGAGATACCTTTTAAGTCCGTAAAAGCTATTCTAAGTGGCATACCCATAGAGGGCGTAACCTGAAGCTCGGAAGCTTGACCGTTCATGCCA